AGAGTGGGCTACAAATTTATAATAGTTTTAACCAACAGGGCGTATTCAGGGGGCTAGAGGGGGCACCGAACCACCACCTACACAGTCGAAAAATTCATTTTTTAAAATAAAACAAGCTTATTTTAATGAAATTTGTAATTTTTATATACAAGAAATTGTTATAACTTGCTACCAGATCATTGCCAAATGATCTGGTAGCAAGATCATCACCCCCTCCCCTCCTCTCCAATCTAAAAAAAAAAATTTAAGTGCAATATTAATAAATTTTAATTAATATTATTCAAAATAGAAATTAGTATAAAATTTCTTTACTATATTACAAGATGCATCAAAGTATCCATATTTTTAGTAAATAAAGCATTGTAACCACCTCCCACTTTAATCTAAAAGAAAAAGAAAAACTCAATATTGTTTTGAAAAAAAAACGTAATTAATTTGTCTTGGCTTTTAGTAAATGATTAAAAATTTAAATTTCAATAATGAAATTTAATAATAATCATTGTTAACGATAGACACGACGAGAACGTAAGCCAGAGCCGTCTATCAAAAAAATGTTAAACCACTTGCAGTTTAGTCATTCCATGCCAAATCAGCATGACACGTCACTTTCTACTTTTGGTTCTTTAAATTTTCACATTATTTTTATTTTTTTGTTAATAAAAAACCTTTTAAAAAAAAAAAAAGTCCAATATTTTGTATAAATACTTTAAAAAATTAAAACATTTTGTAATGTGAAGGACTATACACTAAATTTCATTTCAAAAAAAATCTATTCTATATTTACTCAAACAACTTTTTAAACAGTGTAATACATGTGAAAACTAACTAAGGAATAAAAAAGTTGACATGTGCAGGCTAACCTGGAAGGACTTAGTGCCTTTTTGCAAGTCACACCACCTGCAGCACCTAATTTGCAAGTCACACCACTTGCAGGTACCTTTTTGCAAGTCACACCACTTGCTGTACCTATTTTGCAAGTCACACCACTTGCTGTACCTATTTTGCAAGTCACACCACTTGCGGTACCTATTTTGCAAGTCACACCACTTGCTGTACCTATTTTGCAAGTCACACCACTTGCTGTACCTATTTTGCAAATCACACCATTTGCTGTACCTATTTTGCATGTCACACCACTTGCGGTACATATGCAAATAATATACATTTACAAATCATTTATCTTTATTTATATATAATAAATACTTATACCATAAAACTAATATTATTACAGTTCATCATATGGGAACATTTAAAACTACATAGTCAATTTATGAAAATATCAACTCTCCTGATATAACATCAGCTGCAAGTTGGAACTTTTTCATACAATAGTCAACAACTTCTGAATCGGTTTCTTCATTTTTCCAGTAAGAAATAGTAAATATTTTGTCGTCTTTTCTTATATTTACTTTTTCTACTCGCCCATCATACATGACAGACTTGCTATTATCTGCATCAAACCATTCATGGCAAAGTTCTCTTCCAACAATTCTTTCAGACATTACATCATTTAAGTCAGAAAGTTGCTTGATAGACAAGTGCTTATATAAATCCTTCATATCATTAAAAGATTGCACACGTAAATCTCGCTCCAGCTTTCTTTTTTCTTTTTCATCCATTTTTTGTCTTTTGCATGCCTGTCTTTTTGAAATCTCTGCTCGTAAAGCAGCATGGCCTAGTCGATTTGTTATTCTTTTTTTACGACTTGCATTAATAGACCACTTAACTACATTTTCTCTGTATATTAGGTCTAGACTTTCTAGATAATCTATAGTCTTATTCTTTTTTGATCTTAATTTACAAGATATATAACAAATTGTTGCATGTGGGGATCTTCCTTTAGCTTCGCTAAACATACCTATTAATTCTTCACTATCAATATTGTGAAGTCTTGCACTAGCTGTCTCCTCCTTGAGTATTGCTGTAATAGAAAGAGAAAAGTACCTTTTATATTGTCGAATTAAGACATCCTGCACTGCCTTAAGACAAGCAGAAATCATCTTCATTATCTGGTCATCAATGGCACATAAAGTTGTAATTGGTTCTAAAACATTTGGTAAAAGCGGTTCCCCAAAAAAATCTTTTGTTCTACAAAACAGCTCAGCTGGATTAGATTCGCAATCTTTTAGTGTTGTTAAAATATTCTTTACTACTTGGATACCAGTGGCATGATCAAAACTTGCATCCACAGCTGAGACATAAAACTTTGTCATCCAAGGTCCAGTGAGAAGTTTTCCAAACATTCCAAGTACACACATTTGTTTTAATGCAGTTGCATTACAAAATGCTGTTCGCAAAACTAATTGCAAAGTACCGCATTTTACTGTTCCAGTAGTCAGAAAACGTAGAAAATCAGCATAGTGTTTTATAAAAATAAAACATGTATGGAAAAGAATATGAAGACGGTTTCCTCGATATCTTGGAATAATACATCGTGGTAGTTTGTTATTGTCTAAAAAATTAACAAACCCTTGAGGATCACCTTTGACATCTTTGAACCTCATTTTGTTCATGGCCAAAACAATTTTAACTGCCATGCAATCATTTCCAAATAATTCACAAGTTTCAGATTCTAAAGACTTTAATGCTGAACGACATTCAGTGGCAATTGTGTCAAGAGGGTGCAAGTGGCAATTTAGTTCATTCAGATTTTTCCCCCAGGCTTCACAAACTTTGGTTACGGTTAGATGGTTTACTGCTACTCTGTCTGACATTGTGTTTGATATATTTGAGATGATCAAATTACGACATTTGTCAAAAGAAAGTAAATGAAAATCTGAATAAACTGAAGCCATATGATCAACTGCCATACATATATGTTTTTCATAATCATCAGCCGTCCCTCCAGGCATTTGGTCCAGAGCAATGACCTGACATTTATTCTTTGATGTTAGGTGAACACTGTTAACATGAACACCTTCTTGTGTGGTCGCATCAAAACCAAGAGTAAGATTATTATTACTGATAGCCCACTCTGCTGCTTGCAGGTCTGATATACTGCCAAGCTCACGAGCCATTTGCTCAACAGTACTACGCTGCGGAATTTGCAAACATTCAACACCAAAATATTGTACAATTTTCTCAAATAGAAATGGAATGTTACCTGTTGGAACATTAGATAATAACATGCTATAAATTATCATCCTAATTTGTAATGTATAAGTCTTACCACCACCTGACATAAATCCAACTGTACTATCACCCTCCTTCATTTGGGTCATATCATTTTCTAATCTAGCAATTGAAATTTTGTTTTCTCTAATAGAAATATTATGCGTGAGCATTACCTGCCTTAACTTTTCTCTCTCTTTAATTTTTCTTGCCTTTATTGTAGTTATAAGATTGCGAATACGCCTACTGTAGTAATATGTTTGCAATTTTTGTTTTAGGTCTCTAACTTCTGCTCTTAAAGCTTTTATGATTTCTTCTTTTCTTTTAACACTTTGTCTAAAAACTTTTAATTTATATGGCATACTCTTTAATTTTGCTTTCACTAAAACTATCTTATTTCGGTAATTTCTAGAAGAACTAGCAAGCATTGAAGATAAGTCTGACAACCTTTTTTTAAATATTTTTTTCTCTGTGGTAAGTTTTTCTCTTGAAGTAGGCTTACTTTCCAAGTTTAAAGTTTTGCTTGTAGAAGCTAAAGGTTCACTAATAATTGGAGATAATATGTCGATGTGTTTTGATGTTGCAACTGAAGAACACGAGAGAATATAAACATTACTACTAGGGGTAGGCTGTAATGACTGTCTGGTTGTCAAGGCAGGTTTATGGAAAGCAAAGGGTTCATTGCAAAAAGCAAAGAAACGTTTAGAATCTCTTTTGTAGTTGACAGCCAGTTTTTTAGCTATATTCACAAGACTTTGAATATTACTTGCAATTGTGTTAAAGCCAAAATATTTATTGACTTTTTCAACGGTTTTGGTATACAATTCACCATTGTCAATAAATACAAAAAGTATATGTCCGTTTCTACACTCATTATTTGTATCAGCAGACAATTGAAAGCTATCAACTAAATGTTTTTTAAACTTTCCATTAAATACAAGCAACTTTTTTTGGGGGGCCATAATACCTATAAAAATAATAAATATGAATAAGTATTAAGCATCTGGGTAATAACACCAACAGGAGACTGGAAAAGGCTTTATAAAATAAATCATACCTTTTTTTTAAACTAAAGTAGATGAATAAAAAAGGAGAAAACTTGTTGAATAATAAACTATGTTTTCAATATCAATTTAAATGTTATTAACTGTAAATAAAAGGCACAATAAAAGTTAAACTACTCCAGTTTTGAACAAAATATTTTTCCAAAAAATAAATGTTATATTTTGGAAAAATATTTTGTTCAAAACATTAATAGTTTATGATACATCATTGGTCTCAGTATTAACAATACTGAGACCAATATAGTCTCATTATTACCAATAATGAAAAATAATATAATTATGATATGTAATTAACAAGTATTTGATTGCAATTTAACTAACAATAAATTATATATATATATATATATATATATATATATATATATATATATGTATATATATGAAACACTGTAAAATGAAAAAAAATTTTTATTAAGTGATTTTCTACTAATTTACATTTCAAAATTGTTTAAATAAATATATATATATATATATATATATATATATATATATATATATATATATATATATAGTATTATAAGTATAAAAATGTCAGCATATTATTAGTTGAAAATAAATATCTTTTTACTTTAATTAAGATAACTTGTGATACCTTTTTGCTAGTCATAACAATAGTGGTATACATTCTTAAAACACTTTCCATATCAAGACATATAATTGAAATATCATTATTAATTATTAAAACAATTTATGTAAAAATCTAAAGAGAAAGTTATTTGTAAATAAAATATTTTACTACATAAAAAACCTAAACATATTTTAAATAGACTTTATACCATAAAATAACGTACAAAATACTAAAAATCTTTTGATTGCAGTTGCTAGGAACGTATTTAAAAAGAAATTTTTAAATGATAAAAAGACAAAATGATTCTAATATTGATGTGAACTCTAATGATTCTAATTTTGTTGTGTTTATTTATAACTCTTGCAAAAATAAAATAAATCAACTTTTTAATATCATAATAGAGATTTGCAGAAAGATTTTAAGAGAGTGAGTTATGCTTTTGTTACTTTTCTGCGGACAATACATTAACACATTGAAGAAAGAACTAACTTTTATTAACAAAAAATCTTATATTTACAAAATAAAAACGAACAAAAATATAAACTTTTAATTTAAATAATAATTAAAAGTGCTTCCGCTGCTGCCTCCTCTATTGCCACGTCTCCTTTCCTGATGCCCTCGGTTGTTTGACCCAGCACCCGAGTAGGGATGCCACCTAAAATGTGGATAGTCCTCCCCACCATTCCGGACCCAACTCAAAAAAGATTTGTTTGATCGGGGTCCTGGATGCTGGGACCGATAGGTTAAATAATCAGCATATGTAAGTGCTGAAAGAGAAATATAAATGTATGCAGTTTACTGAAGAATATAAAGAACATTTATAATAAATTAGACAATTATGAAAACATAGAAAATTATTATTTATTTTGCAAGGAAAATATTCTCTTTTATATATATATATATATATAAATTAGAAGTGAATCTTACTAGTGACAACAGGAGGAGACACAACTAAAGAATACAAGAAAATGTGTTATATTGATAATTTAAAATTATTAATAAATTATTATTTGTTTTATAAAATAAACAAGAAGCAACCAACCTTAAAACGTTACTTAATTTAAAATTATAAATAAGTAATAATTTGTTTTATAAACTAGAAGCAACCTTACCAGTGGTAACAGGAGGAGGCACAACTAAAGATTACAAGAAAAAAGGTGTAATATAGAGTGAATGTTTCAAATTTAAGCTAGTTATCATAATGTAAAAATTCTATAATGTAAAACCTTACAAGTAGAACTAGATCCACTAGAGTTCACTAAATAAGAAAGATAATAAAAATTGAAAAATTTTTTGAACTTAAAATTATTTTTCGATTAACACTATTTAATTCATCTATGAAATATAATCTTCAAAAATCTAATAAAGTTAAAAACTAGCCAAAATGTCTACTCGACAATTTATTAAACTTTATATCACTTACTGTTTCTCATGAAATCCTCTAAAAATAATAACAAATTCAATTAAACTAAATCTAGAGTTTTTAATTTACTACAAATTAAAAAAATTAATATTGGTTACAAGTCACTAAACTTTGGGCAATTAAACAAGTAATACAACTAAAATTTAATTTTTCTTACGCATTGTCTTTTCTAATTGATCTTCTAAATGACGTATAGAGAAAAAAAGCAATAGTAAACAAAACTATCAATATATTGCATGGATAGCATAAAAAATGCTGGAGAAGGACAATGTATAAAACTTTTATCTACAAATTAAACTGATTCAATAAAAAAACACTGTAAAAAAGTACTGAAAGAAATAACTTAAAATATATATATAGCTATAGAAGCTATAGAAATTACTAAAGAAATTAACTAACTGGTATTAAAAAAGGTATCAGTTGCTTTGTCAGATTCTGACAAAGTCAACTTCCTCATTTCATTTTCGCTTGATGACATAATTTAATTCTAGAATAATATTAATATTATTAACGTAGAAGCTACTTTAATAAAGTAGCTTCTATGTTAATAATAATAATATTAATATTATTACATTACAGTTTTTTATTGTTATAAAGACTTTATAACAATAAAAAACTGTAATGTAAAATCTACAAATAAAACTAGATCTAATAAACTTTATTGGTAATCTCTTTTAATAATACTATTATTTTTACATTACTAACACATTTACACAATATGTAATTAATTATTATTTTTTGATAATTATATTTATTAATGATAATTATTTATGATATATATATTTTTTTAATAATAACCTCTGAAAGATTTTTTCAATGTTATATAAATAATTCAAGTACTTATTATATAAAAGGCTTACATACATATATTAAACAAATATTAAACTTCGTATAAACCTTTTTCTCCCCCCCCCCCCCCCCTATCTCTCCAAAATCGGTATGAAAAAAAATAAAATTAGGTACCTAAAGTGCAGGTAAAAATAGGGAATATGCTGGTCAAAATAAAGCCTTGAAATTTGGCATGCTCATAGAAAATGTATAAACTTAAGCAAAAGAATAGGATAGAAAAAAATAAGAACATATCTTCAACATTTATTAGGCTCATGAAATGCAATACAATTTTAGATGTCAATAAATTCTATATTAACATTTCTCAATAAAGAAAACAACTAAACTGTAAAATAATTTGACTATTCTATTTTTTAAAAATACTCTTTGTTAATATAAAATTCTAAAAAATCATTCAACAAAACACCATCCTACCATACCAACAAAACGCAAAGTTCGAAAAACGTGGAACAGTATTTTAGCACATAAATCGGTTCCGTAAAACGCGTTTTTCGGCATACCTAATTGAATTTTTTATTAACAAAGTGCAAAAACAATTGTTTTTCTCAGATTTAGTTATAATCTGCAATACTTTGGCTATAGTCCATTCATTATTTTATCCTTTGCCGTACTTTCGTTGGTGTTATAAGATTTTCTATTAATATTGACAAAGATAAGTCTGATTCATGTCCTACACCACTTTCTCTTTCGTTTTCTTGTTCGATGGGCCATTTTCTAATGTAATTTTTTCAAAGCAGAATAGTTCTACATTATAAATTCAAGCTTATCTGCCTTGTCATTGTCGATCTACGATCAGTGATAACAAGGTCAGAAGCAGAAATGCTCTTTTAGCTCTTTCAGAGGTTGGTGGAGTTGCCAACCAACCTCAGCAACACCCGAAAGGATAGGAAGTTTCGCTGCATGCTGCTTTCTCTATGGTAAGGTGTCAATATACCTGCATTTTTGGGTCTAATTGTTTTTTGGTATTTTTCCATTCCTAGCTTAATAGGACGGTTTTCGTGTATATGATCTGAATTATCGTGTATATGATGTGAATTAGTATCTTCCTTATGCCTTGCTAATATAATATTGTATTCATTTTCATATCCGTGTCAAAAGACAAAAAACAAATAAATCTTCAACAGATTTAAGCATTGAAACAATACCTTCAAAAGGCAGGAACTATTCACCTGTTGGTGAGGTTTTCTTCTAATCGTCACCTTCTGTATCGCGTAAGTATATGAGTGAGACATTCAGTCGAAGCATGGCGTGCAGTATATCGTAATGGCTCGTCTTCTTTTTTTTTTTGAAGTTCGATGAACAACTACCTATGTTGAGTTTGATTATGCTTTCGAAAGCCAGTAGTATTTGCTTGCTATGTTGCAATCTTATTTCCACAAGTTTTACACAAAGCTGATTCTCTTGAAAATGTATAAGAGAGTTTAATAACAAATAAAATGGTTTTATATTTTAGTATAATTTTATTATTATTTTATTAAGAAACAACATAGCCGGGATGCCTCGAACTCACTTAAGGCCTAAGGCAAAATTAAGTTTTGGGGGCATATACTGTAAATTATATTTCTAAAAAATGTCAAGGAAATATTATTACCAAAAAAAGGCGTGAATTTAGTTAGTAGGTATCTTTATTTGAAACAAATATAATTCAGAGTAGGCCGACATACAACCTGGCAATAATTTTAGCACTTTGTGCTTTACAGTTTATAAGTTATTGCTCCACCAGTTAAATTATTATATTGTTAATAACAATTGTTAATAAACACTAATAGTTATAACGTAAAGGCGTAAAAACAAACTGCTTTTTAAGTAAAAAAGAAATTAAAAAAGTATAATTCCCATGATAGACTTGAACCTAGAACTGCATGGACCAAGTCAGAAAGTCACGTGATCATTTATTGTCATTATGAAATAGGGGAAAACAAATTGAACAAACGCTGCGATTCTTTGTTTCTTTATTAGTTATCACAAATTTTCAGTTTTTCTATTATATTTATTATTATGGCAGCGGTATATGAGTATTTTGAAAATCTGGATGGCGATATCAAAAGAAAGATACGATGAAAAATTAGCAGTTCTTGGTAGGTGTTAGTATCTAATCTCTAGTTATAATATTACAGTATGGAACTTTTAATACGGTTTTGTCAAATCAATAATAAAAAATTTTATTAAACTTATTTTTACTAAATTTATTCCTGTTTTTTTTTTTTGTTTATTTTGTAGCAAAAAGTAATTAAAATATAAATTAAATAATAAAGTTATAAAATTCAAGTTCTAAAGTGCGTTTATAATTTTAATTAAATTACTTAAATCGTTTTTAAGTTATTTTAAATGTAACTTTGTATATAAAATCTTTAAAAGAAAGTGCTAAAAATATGGCATTAGTAAAGCATGTTTGGTTACTTGAGTAAGTTTATCTATTACTATGTTGTTAGGTCTTAATCAATGCCCTTACAAATTTCCTGCAGACAAGTGGATTGACAACCCAAACGATTGGCCATCACTGACTTATCACCATTTATATCACTACCTCATCAAGACTCCAAGTAAGTCTAACTGCAATAAATAATTTATCAATTTTAATAAATGTTTGAGATTTCATAAAAATTTATTTAATTTTCATTTTTAAAACTTTTGGTATTTACTCACCAGAGGCAATGGAAAACTGTAAGTCACTTGATGCCTGAATTTTTTTAAATCAGGCTGGGTTCAAAAAATTTTTCACTTTAAATTGGATAGTGGTGTATGTATGATATGTGCTGGTGTGAGGCCATCTTACCGGACTACTGATGAATGTCGCGAGCCATGGGTAACTCTAAAATCAGATGGGACTGTTCTGGCAGGTCATTGCAACTGTATGGCTGGGTAAATGAAACACATACTAATTATTGAAAATGTGGTAGTTATGGTGAATATACTTCATATTATTGTTAGTGTAAACTTCTTTCATTTAAAATATTGAAAATCTACTATATAGATTTAGTAGATTTGCTTTATTTATAACTTATTTTTCTTTTTAAGTCTTGGTGGAACATGCTCTCATGTTAGGGCTGTATTATATAAGATTGAAGCTGCAGTACGAATCGGTTTAAAATCATCCGCTCCAACTGAGTTACCCTGTATGTAGAATCAATTATTTGTCAGAGATGTTACTGGTTGCCCTGTTTCGAAAATCAACATTCTTATAGATGATGCCAAACAAAAGCTAATCAAAGTTTCATAGGAATCAGCATATAACAATGTTTCAACAACATGATTCTAAAATGAATTTTTTAAAAGAAATTAATGCTGTGCAACCTAAAAGTGTTTGTTTGAGTCTTTTTGGTTAATTCAGCATAATTTTTTTTTGCAAAGTAAAAAAACTACAGATACTACCACCATCTCTAAGACATTTGTATGGTGCAGACAGTTTGATACTTGATGAAAATCATGAATTGCTAGTCAGCCAGTTGGCCTTTAGTGATGCAGATGTTGTTTACATTGAGGAGGCGATAAGAACACAACATTATTCATTGTCATGGCTACGCCAACGAGCAGGAAGAATTACTGGATCTGTGTTTGGTGAAGTATACCATGCATCATTTGATAGTTCAAACATGAATTTAGTGATGAAGATTTGCCATATAAATAAAAGTGTAGTTAAAGCTCAAGCTTTAATGTGGGGAAATAATCATGAAAAAGATGCTATAGAGTTTTACAGAAACATCTGTTCTGGAAACTCCTGTCAAGAGAAGGCACTGAATAACAGCATCCCCATTTTTTTGTTGAGTCTATAGGGCTTATTGTATTCAAAAATAAGCCATGATACGGACCTTTGCCTGATAGTATATTCTTTTGCTCTTACTGTGGTTATGGTGTACTTGAGATAAAGTGTCCTTGTGCCCTACGGGATAAGTCTCTTCAACAAGAAATTGATAGTGGTATGTTTTATGTTGAAAAAGAACAAGATGGTTACTTTCTAAGAAAAAGTTATAACTATTACTTTCAAGTACAACATAAAATTATGTGCACTGAAGCATTATTTTGTCATTTTGTGGGAAGGACACTATCTGAATGTGTAATTGTCAATATTGAGAAGGATGATTTTCTCCTTCATAATATGTTTGAACAATGTGATTTGGTTTGGAAGAAATTTGTTTTACCAGAATCAATCACCAGAAATTTAGTAGGCTCCACATCATCTTGTGAAAACTATAACCCTTAAGAAATTTATCCTAAAGAAAAGTTTATGTATTGTATAAAAAATTGTGAGTTTTCTGGTGAAGTACATAATATGGTGGGTTGCGACAGATGTGACAACTGGTATCATCCGATTTGTATTGAATTAAAACAACTCCTAAAAGATAAAACGTGGTACTGCAAACAATGTGCAATCTTAAATAAACTTAAATAAACAAAAAACCTTAAACCAATCTTATATAAACAAAAAACATTGATAGCATTTTAAATTTTATTAGCCTTTATTTATAAGAACCAATAAAA